CTTCTTTGCAGGGGGTCCAGTTGCATCTTTACGGCTACGCTTTCTCTTGGTTCCAGGTACCGGCTTGGCCTCAGGCGTGTTTTCAGGCTCTGACTCTGCCTCCAAGGTAAGATTAACCACTACTGGTGCAGCCGGAGGTAATACAGCCTCACAACACTGACACACAGTTTGTAATTCAGGCAGAAGATCCTGGAAGGAGGATACCGTATATGGAATTAACAGTCCTGCTGGAGTTATTTGTAAATGTAATAATATCAAGTAAAAATTCAAAAGGCCAACCATAAAAATGATTTACAACCAGCAGACCTCTAAAACCAGTCACACCTGCTTAAGAGTGGGATGAGCCCAGATCCACAGCTGCCTGTGCGCTGAGCCCTGTGTGCGGGGTCTCCAGAGGAAGGTGACGGGCCCCAGGGGCTGTGAGGGGTACCGTCCAGCTCTGTACACCATGACACTGCCCTGTCTCCTTCCTGACAGACACAGTGCTGCAGCAAACGTAGGGCCTAGAAAAGAAAATCAAAGGTGTATAACTACACTACTTAAACTAAATGTGTAAGTTAGCAGGAGTTGCTGCTAAAAACTCTTTTTTGCCTTGAGAACTACTGTATGAAGGCAAAGAGAGAAGCCCAACGGGAAACCTCAATTATTTCTTACCTGCTTCCTTGCTGGTCAGCTGTGAAAGAGCAGCTAGAAGCTTGTCTTCGTCCCCCTGCAGCTCTATGCAGCAGTAATAAGAGAGATCCTGAGCAGAGATAATGCAAAATGTAAGCTGATGTTCCAGACAGCGGCATTACAGTACGTAAAAACAAATTATTCACAGAGTCTGTGTGAACAGCAGGTGGTTACCTGTAGGAGACAGTGGCTGCTCATTGCTCTGTAGCAAGCCCGGTAGCATTTGTATGTGGGCCTGTCCCCGAGGCAGTAACCCCACTTTTTAACCATGTGGAAGCGCTTGGCGTGCCAAATGTGCGTTTCCAGCCAAATGTTCTTACGCTGACGGCGGTTGAACTCCAGCAGCAGGTTTCCGTGACGCCGCCGGGCCTTGCGGCTCTTGCTCTTTGCTGGCTCCTTCTTCTTTTTGGAGCCAGCCTGGAGGCCCTTCTCCCGCTGACAGAGGAAGGACAAGTGAGTGGACATGTCCCAGGTACTCAGAGTGGGGGACTTCGTATATAAAACAAGGGTACGGAGGTGTTTGTGAGACATTCAAGTGCTGAAAATAAAATACGTCCAGAAATTTACCATTCTGTTGGCCACCTCTCTCAGTCTGTGAGGGAGCCGCTTGGTGTTGTGGCTCATGGCTCGTCTCCTCATGTGTTTGGGCAGAGCTTCAAACACACGGCTGCTGCTTGTGGTCTTTCTGACAGCTTTCAACATGGCGCTCACCTCTGCAGCCCTGGCCCTTGCAAAAGCTCCAGCTGAGTGAGCAAGGTAAAGATGGAGATGGAAGTCATTCACTGGATTGTAACCAGTGTTGCCAACTCCTCAGTAAGGAAAATCGCTATTGGTTGTCCTAAAAGTCGCTAGAAGTCGCTAAATGACGTCATCACCTAATTTGCATAATTGGTCATGCTAATGTAATTGTAACCTATGCTGCTGGAGAGAGAAATAACATCGTGGACGAGACATAAAGTGAGCAATAAACGTCCTAAATGCATTTAGAATTTATTTAGAACTACAAATTAAATTTCTTTTAGCAATTATTGTTTTTTGTAATGTCACAATTCCAACCCTGCTCCTTTACCCGGGCTTTGACCGGCAAAAGTGACCCGAAATAGGCACTCTGGTGGAGTTACTTTGTGTGTGTGTGTGTGTGTGTTTATAAGTAGTTTTAAACCTGATCCACAAAACAGCATAAGAGTAAAAGAAGAACTGACTGCGTTACAGCACCCACTGCTTGTTGAGAGTAAAAGCGATATGCGCTTTCACGTCTTTTTTTAGCTAGGGGGTCTGAAAACTCGCTAAATATAGCGACAAAGTTGCTAAGTTGGCAACACTGATTGTAACTGTTCATGAATACCTTTACAATTCATTTCTTTCATGACTGTTTATGCTCTGAATTAAACTTAATATGTAAAAAATGTTGAGATTTTACCAGTGACGTATTTGGGCATCTCCTTAGTGTAGCCACCACCATCTTTATGATGTCCACGGACCCATCCGCTCTGGTGGGGAGTTTTCTTCTGCCTTTCTGTAGAGGGGTGCACCTCCGAAAGACCACCTTTGAGAGGATCAGCATTTTTTCCTGTCGGGGTCAAATAAAAGTGAGACTGAGTCATGTGTGGTCTGCCTCTACAAATGCGTGTAAACTCGCCCAACTTAATAAGGCATCTAACATCTTTGTCCTCTTGTTTATTCTGTTTTCACATGAATCTCATCATAGAAATGACCTTAATAAGAAGGGATTCCTCCCTTGGAAAAAATATGTTCCCTATATTCACTGTATGAACAACACATGACAGAGGAAGATGAGGAACTAGAAAGAAAACAAAAATTTGGAGGGCACTTAAAAAAGTTTAAAAAAAAAAATCATAAGAACCAAGTGACAGACAGTCCATAGGGAAGACTCACAAAATCTTGAGATACTCCTACCAGAGGTGCAACAAAACAAAGCAACAGTAATAGTTTTCTCGAAGGTCTCTTACACATGAAATAAATTCTTGCATAAAATTATTAATGTCAATTGGAAAAAACTATGTTAAACAGGAGGTGCTAGACCTGAACTCAGGTTATTTCACTATAAATGCTCTGATTTGTCCCAAATTAAGTGTGACCATGGACAAGTGGGTCCTCTAGATGCCCGGAATGCCCTCTAGATGTCCTTTGGACAGAGGCGGTGCCTTACGACACCAACTGTCTGCCATCTATAATCCAGTTTTGAGATCCCTTTCCAGACGCCCTAGTGCCCACTCACATCCTTGGTCATCTGACCTCAGTAAGTCACATGACAGGGTGGGGCTAGTTTTCACAGTGGGTTCACCCGAAACCTTGGCTGATTGTGACCCACACCCGTTTTCACACCTTGGCTCATGTGATTACGTAAAGGATTAATAGGGGGTCCATGACCCTCTTGGGGGGGGACACTCCCATAGGGCTTAAAATCTGGGACTCACCACCATTTGACCCTAGAACTGAAGAAGCTTCTCAGATGAAACGTCTTCAAGAAACTTAAAGAAGTCCAGACGCTTTTCTTTCCAGGCTCCTTAGACTATGATGAGCTGGATGATTGAGAACCTTCACAGACAGATACAGACTATACAGACTATACAGTCCATACACGTACATAAGTACTCAAGGCCTTTGCTCGGGAGCACCTTTGGCTGCAATTACAGCCTCAAGTCTTTTTGAGTTTAAGCTCTGCACACCTATTTTTGGGCAGTTTCTCTTATTCTTTTTTGCAGACCCTCAAGCTCCATCAGGCTGGATGGGGATCAGTTATGTTTGTTATCTTGGATGTGTGCTTAGGGTTGTTGTCCTGTTGGAAGATGAACCCTCATCCCAGTCTGAGGCCCAGAGCGCTCTGGAGCAGGTCAGCATAAAGGATGTCTCTGTACACTGCTGCACGTGTACAAACATCCCGCAGCATGATGCTGCCAGCACCATGCTCCACTGTCGGGATGGTACTGGCCAGGTGATGAGTGGTGAATTTACCACAGGTGGGCTCCAATCAGCTATGAAAACAGTCGATCAGTTGAAACAGGATGCACTTGAACTTGAATCTGTGTGTCATGGCAAAGGCTGTGAATACTCATCTACAAGTTATACCTTTGTTTTTAGTAGATTTGCAAGAATTTCAAGCAAGCTGTTTCACTTTGTCATTATCAGATATGTCATGTACAATTTAGTCCATTTTGGAATAAGGCACAACTAACATGTTTTCATGCGTCTCCCATGACAACACATGGAACAAGTGACACACTGAATACTTTCTGGACGCACTGCATGGCAAGTAGCAGAACTATCAGATATGACATATATCCATTTACTTAGAAAGGAAGAATGTTCTGTTGTGTTTGATATTTAATGTATAGCTATATCAGATACAGTCATGTATGACCTTATCTTTCAAGTATGTATGATACAGTCCAAGGAGAGCAAAACTGTTCAGTTCACCTTGGCTTTATTCTGCTTATGTGGTTCATATTATCTGCCGGTTTAACTATTTTGGCAGTAAATTTTTATACAAGAATCCATTTCATACGTGGAAGACTGGAAGAAAACATATGTGTGCTTTGTTCTGCATTACTGTAGGGGACTCGCTGGCCGTTCCTACAGTTTAATATGTAATAGGCTACGTGAAATAACCAGGGAAGGCAAGAGTACCGGTGCCAGGGGCGTCTGCTCCATTCTGCGTGCTGCTCTCCACGTTAGATGAAGAAGATGGATACTGCACACTGGCGGGCTGATTTCTCATCTTCTTCTCCCGCATTTTGACTTTAGCCGCAGACATTTTCTGTAAGATACAATGAGACGCTTGAGACCTCGCTATGCGAGCAGCTTCTAACCCAAACAGTTGAATGCTGAGCTAAAACGCAGGCTTGCTAGCAACGTTACCTGGGGTAAAGTTGCGGAGTTGTTTTAACTAACAAAACCAAAGCAAAAACATTTCTATACCAAACGTACAGAGGAATTACACTTCATAAGGTTACCTCAAGGTTCCCCAGTGTGATGTGTGTCAGAAACGCTGTTCCAGCTGCAGGGACCCTCTAGTTTTACGTTTAGCAACCATGTGAGGTTTCCTCACGCTGGTGCTGGTCTTGTTTGCTTCCGGATATGACGTGTTAAGGGCGCTTTGTAGAGTATTAGCGCGTCAACAAAAGAACCCAATAAAAACCAAGGTACGTTTTCGTAAGATTATGTGATATGTTGTCACTATTGTCTCTTACTTGAGTTTTAAAATGTCTGAGGTGACCAGTTTTGGAACTAAAATCTGTAAAGGGAAATGTGTTTGCGCATGTGATATGTCTTTTACGGTAAAGTAGCTCTGACGTCCTTCTGACGTCAGGGCTTTTTCTGCTTGCAGCCTTCTGTTGTACAACTTACTTCTTTCACTTGGGCCGATAGATTTCCAGTGAAATGGCTGCACTAATTAGGAGGATTATCAGCACAGCTAAAGCTCCTGCTGCTATCGGTCCGTACAGGTGAGAAGAGCTTTGAATCATTGCCCTAAGGTTAAAGTTGAGGCTGGCACACACCTGCCGCAGCACCAAACTACATTACATTTGGACTGTTAATAGCACTGACTGCCAATTCATTGATGACACACCACGACTTTTTTTGCTTAATCGGGTAATACAGCTATACTGAGTTCACTGTTTCGTCCATAAGATTGCTGCTGGGAGAGGTGGGATAGCATATGCTCTCAGAGCTTCTGGGAGCAAAGTTCAGATTTTTGGATGTTGCACTTTAAACTCTACACACCACTAAAATGTTAAACAATGACGATAAACAGCAAACTGTGCCCGAGGTTTTTCAATACTTTAGTCTGCCATTAATTTAATTCAGTTTCAGAGTTCAGAGTTCAGAGGGTTTTTTTTTATATTGTTATAAATGGTAAAGAGCCTAAAATAATACAGAGAAGACCCCAAACAATCAAACGACCCTCCTGATCCAGCTCTAACTTAAGTTTAAGCCTAATCCTAAAAGCAGAGAGGGTTTCTATCGCTCACATCTGCACAGAGAGCTGGTTCCACAGAAGAAGGGCCTGGAAGCTGAAACCTCTGCTTCCCATTCTGCTTTGAAACATCGTAGGAAACACAGTTATGCCAGTCGTCTGAGAGCAAAGTGCTCTATTGGGGTGATATGATACTTTGACACAATGATCAACTGAAGGCTTTTTAGGTAGTTTTAAGGACATCCATATAATAATGAGTTACAATTGTCCCACCTAGAAGAAATAAATGCATGAATTATTTTCAACATCACTCTGAGACATGATGTTTCTAATTTTACAGTTACTGTACAAATGCAGGTAAGCAGTCCCAAATATATGTTTAATAGGGGCACAGAAAAATGACTTCAAGACTCCTCACAGGTATAAAGAGAGTGTTCTCTTTATCGAGAAAAGAAGCTGTGTATATATTATTGAAACAAGGAAGATGCATAAATGCAATTTTATGAATCTATTATTCAAAAGGAAATAAACATCAAAAAACAACCCTCAGTTAAAAACCTACACATGGAGAGATAAGTGACATAATAGTCAAGCAAACATACAACTTTTTTAACCTCACTTCCTTCATTATTAGTAAATCTTTACTTAGCAAAGATCAGCAGAAAGGACAATGAGATTTACCACTGTGAATGAAATAAACCCAGAGTAGCTAAGTCTTTGTCTTTGCATGTTTGTGTGTGTTTTCCAGCCAAGCAGTGGTGGTGGATCGAACCATGTATATTTCAGGACAGCTGGGAATGGACCCTGCCAGTGGACAGCTGGTGGAAGGTGGTGTTCAGGCTCAAACCAGACAGGTGACACTGGAATCCCCATCATCACTGATTCATTCCTTCATTCATTCATGAACATGGCGCACTTGAAAGCGATCCAGATATCAGTAGATGTTCCTTATTCCTAACTGCTGAGATAATTGCAATGGAGTTGAGCTCACAACCAAACCATTAAGAGGCTGCTACAGTGTGAATAAATGCAGTCCATTACTTAAAAGAAAATCTAGTGACAATGCTTTTAAAAATAGTGCCTTTTGAAAAAACCCACCAGTTTTCCTGCGGGGGGCCAATTCCAGGTTAATTCCTTAATTCTCTGTAATGCTGCAGAATAAATTTAAGACTGGTCTAACGCATCCTTCCTGCAGGCTGAATGAGGATCTGAAAGTCATCACAAAGTGAGAATTACTTTTGCACAATCGTGTACATGACTTCTGTTTCTTCAGGCTCTGGTGAATATGGGTGAAATACTCAAGGCTGCTGGGTGTGGTTACACCAACGGTGAGAGAGCCTTGCCTTTCTTTGCATGTGCACAGGACAAGTCTTTCAACTTTTCAACCACAGACCCGATCATGCACTATTTTCTTTCTTTTCTTGTTACTTCCTGAAGTTGTCAAAACCACAGTGCTCTTAGCCGATATGAACGACTTCACCAGTGTCAATGACGTGTACAAGCAATGTGAGTATCAATGATTCAGCCATTAACGTGTATCAGTGTGTGTTTGGAGTTATCTGCTGCTGTTGGCTTTCGCGTTGCAATACAATGTTAGCCACCAGGTGTCAGCACAGTCCAGGCGACATACAGCGCTGCTGCATAACAAGCAGATTTTATAGACTCTTTATTTTTCCAGTAATGTATTCACCCAGAAGGCCTTTACAATAACTCAACTAGGGCTTGAATTTGCCTCTTCATATTCTAAATATGCTGTGGAAACTCCAGAGCAAGTTGAATTATGAAATAAATATTCAGAAACACAGGGGCAGAAACACTCGCAGGGAACGCTGACATTTGCTGAGTCACTTAGCAGAGTGAAACCTGAGCTTCCCCCACCAACGGGTCTTAATCTTAATCTAAATGTCAGACGACAGACTGCCACATCTGACATTCCATAGATTAAATTAAAAAAAGTTTAAGTCTATTCACAAAGCCCCCATATCCATTTCATTGTTTTAGTAGTATGGTAGAAAAGATAACGGGGCATTTTTGTAATGCCAGTTAATTCAGGTATTGCTCCTACAATCAACTGATCCAAGCACCCAGGTTGATGCACTCTGTGTTGAGTCCATTATCCGTGATTACATCAGTACAGTCAAAATGAGATTATTCTTTCAGTCCACCTCTGTCTTTAAAGGCCCTGCACCGAGTCACAGGTGTTTTCACTTTATTCTGGCTGATTAGGCTTTTGCTATGGTTGAAGTTGGGTGCAGCTATGCTGCGGTTACATGAACCGACAAGAACAACAATGGCATGAATTCTGCTGCCTGAGCAGAGGCCTGTACTACAAAACAGGAACTCATCTTATCCAGGTAGCTTTGGGGTTAACCCCAGGTTTTCTGTACTACAAATGTGGTTCACTTCTTACCAGGGTACATCGCCATGGTAACTTGTGCTTCCATATTAGAGGTCAACAGGTATGAAATCACCACCTACTGACCAGTCAAGTCTCCAGAAAATAGTGTCACCATTACGTGAAGATCCCTCAGACCTCTGTGCACCGAGAATAGGAGTGTCTAAACCCTTGGTTAACTCAGTGAGTGGATAACCAGCTTTGTGATCACGAGTGTTAGGTTCAGTGAATCCAGATAACAGAGAGATAACCAGAGATAACTTTGTAGTGCAGTGCCCAACACAATCAAGGACACTCTGTAGTAACTCATTAATGTGTCTTAATTATTGCTGCGGCTTTTCATTGTAATACATTTCCCATTGTGCATCTAATAATGTGTTGTTTTGGTTTTTGTACTGATGAAATTGTGTGAATATATATGATAATTATACACTGAATTTTATATATTTGATGTATATTGTGTCTAATATGTGTGAACATAGTTAAATTGTTGTGCAGATTAAAATTGTCACAAAGATAAATGTTCTGTTGATTCAGTGGTATTTGCAGGTCTGTGTAAATCCAAAAGTGTAACTAATAAGATTAATAACTGCTTGTTCAAGCTGACTGATGATGAAGTAGAGCCCTTATTTGTGTACTCGCACACCTGTGTTTCTCCTACTCTGACAGTCACTATAAAGAGCTTGCTTGTTTTATCAGCTGATATAAAGGCATGTCAGACAAGGACAACACTATAAATGCCAGGTACCAGTTAATTGGCTGCTTTGCAGTCCTGTAAGCTTCTGTAGATTCTGTATCTGTGTCTGAGTCATTGAAAGTCTGTATGTGTAAATGTGTTGGTGACCTAACTCAGCTGCTTTCTTTAGTCTTTAGCACCAACTTCCCAGCCAGGGCTGCCTATCAGGTCGCTGCTCTCCCTCGAGTGAGTACTTGACAAAGACTTTTTATCCACTTATTCCACTTTTGTGCTTTGAACCCAACAGAAAACCACAATTCTCACTGTACTGATGCTGTCTCTTTCTCCAGGGTGGACTGGTTGAAATTGAAGCAATTGCTGTTTTGGGCCCTCTGACCGACACTTCCTAACAAGTACATTAAACAAGCAAAAACTAGAAAGAGCTAAAAGCACTGAAAAGTGTGAAACTGATGTAATTATAGGTCTAGTATCATCAGCGATTTAGTGCTGTTTTAACATGCCACAGGTCACCTAGCAGACTAACGGCAGTCAGGTGTGGAGCACTTTCTCCTCCCTCACTGATAATGATGAGATGTATTTGAAGACAGCACTGCATTTTAAATCCACTCTGCTCACATTTCACTTACAATAGCTGAGAAGTACCTAAGCTTGTTTGTTGGATTGGATTACACTACCGTCCTGTGTTGTCATCATGACAGTGTATCCTCTCTCTTTGTACCAGCTGATAGATGATCGAGCATAACTGAATAATAAAAGGTTTTAATTTTCCTTAATTGCTTCTTAATGTCAAGAAAACCGCCTGTAGATGATCACTGTAATCTCACATTGTCTCATGTAGACTAAAAAGTCCTCAGCAATTCTGCAATAACTATGAACAGAGTTTGTTTAACAGGGTTAACTCATGGCAGAATGGGTTGTTTATTTGCAGGCTTGCAAACCCATAAAGAACTATATGATTTAATTTCAGTGATTAACTCCTCCTGTTGGATTAATGTGTCTGAATCACTCGGTATACTTTGGGGCTAAATAAAAATGTTCAGCCTGGAACTGCACAACACAAACTGATTTTTCAAAACAGCAGTTCAAGTCTTCATGTGCATACTAAGTATTAAATATTCCAAAATAATCATTTTATTTTCAGAGAGACTTAGCTTCTCATTCTGGTACTCCGTGTTCACATGCTTCATTACATGCATGGTGCAGTGTGTCAGCAGGTGAGTCAAATATCGGTACAGGGGGGAAAGAAGAGCAGCGAGCAGCTCGTATGCAAAGCCTGAATTCATTTAAAGGATGTAGTCGGACCAGGGCGCCTTTTATCCCCAGCGCCACACTCTAATACAGCAACAGAGTATTGTGACTATTCAGATGTCTTATGCTTGAGTGGTTTTAAGTACGTATGCTTCTCTAAACACACTACAGTATGCACTGGGGTCTTGGAGAGACTGTGGTCACCATATACTAAAAACCAATATAATCTCCAGTCACAATTCAGTTACAGAGACAGAGTATTAGTGAGTAAAACTTTATTCTGTACACTAACAGGTTAGCAGAATCATAGACACAGTCAGAGAAAACGAATATATTACAGGGAGTGAGAAGTGAAATGAAAAAGATCAAAACAAAATTTGTTCCCAAAGCATCATCACATCTTATGAGGTTGCAGTAATTTTCTAATGCCCTTACACTTTTAAACTCAGCATGTAGAACTAAATAGTTAAATATTCTGCCCACTAGGCAATGCAGTGTAATGCACTCAATCTAAAACTGACAAGCGTATGACATCAGCGTTACCCCGAAGTTCCTTTTGTTGGAAGGTTCATTACTTTAAGAAAGAAAAGTTCACAAACACCCACCAGCTACGGAGCAACCACAGAAGGGTTTCCCAGAACAGGAACATGGCCTCGTCTGTATCCTTAACCCGCCAACGACTGATTATAAAAGTATATATAAGTGCTAACCCTCTGCATATGTGATCTTTGCCCACTTTTCATTTAAGCAAATCAAAACACTTTAATGTGAACCAATAAAATGTTGAAATATTGAAACCATGTGTGCCGAGTTACTCAACACTTATTACTGTCATTCCTATTGAATAAATGAGCCCCTTTGGAAAGGCTGCAATTAATGTGCAAACAGTTAACAAAAATATATGGTTTAATGTCAGAATTATAAACTAGAAATTCAACCAATTACGAATCAGTTTAATACAGCCTAAGTACAGTGTACACCTAGCCAGTGTGTGTCATTCCAGGTTTGTATTCTTGTCAGTTTTGAGTTCTTTGTCTAAGTTTTTTATTCACAGCTGTATTCCTCAGAAGCGGCTTCTTTAAATAACCGAGTATCCTTCCCTGTATTTCAGCACACTGCCATTCGAAACTCAAAAGAGTTGCTAGCAAGAGTTGACAGATTTTACAGAGGATTGCACCCTCTTGTCACAGGCCACATGTGTAGTACGTGGATCCAGAGACTTGATTTCCCATTAAAAAACACATACTCCTCCCGTTCCTCTCCTGAAAAGGTTTATATACAAATATGGGAAAGATTCTAAGGAATGTTTTTAAGGCACAGTGAATATTAGGAAATGTGGTGTAAAGTTTGGTGAGTGCTGATGAGACAAAACTGAAAATCAGTTGTTTTATTCTTCTGTTTACTTCATCTCGTCTTCCTTCCAGTAGGTTTACAGTGGTAGCTTTGGGCGTTTTGTTGCATTCTTTTCTCTGTAAAAGGAAAAGAAAAAAAAAACATGTCAGCACTTCAGCATCTGACTCACACTTTCACTCTTCAAGTTTACCTTTGTAACTGAGTATAAACAGAATTCAACGTATTTCTGTTTTTTCTACCAAAATGCATCCAGTTCACCTGTAGGAGACTATTTTTTACAAGTATGCACTGACTGCAGAGTCAGTCTAATCCTTCAGAGTTTGCACTGGATTATAGTTTGGTTTGTGGCTGTGCTCTTACCAACTCAGTCCTCCTTTTTGGCTTTCTCACCCTCTGTATCCTGAGACACCTCGCTTGCAGACTCCACTGCATATATATATAGACACAAACATTAGCATGGCATTTTCATTAACTATGATAATGTCAAAACTGACTGGCTCTGAGGATTTATAAGTGCCAAATTTATAACCAATACAAAACAGCATGAGTCCCTCTGAACTCGTTTACAAGTTACTACAATGTACACACACATTTGTTTCTATATCCTTGTAGAGGGTATTCATTGAAATAATGCATACCTTAGTGTCTTACCCTAAAACTAATTCTTAACCATTAAATAAACAGCTTTTTTGTGCTTTTATTGTCCTTACAGCCCCTCTCATTCTTACATGTGCAGTTAGGTTGAAGTCCCAACCAGGATATATAAACGTGAAACACACAGAAACTAGTACATAGCCTCGAGCAAAAAATTCTCATAAAAATTATGCAGTACAGCATGTCTTCCATGCCAGAAGTCCATTCGTCTCGTGCTGCGTGGAGGCTTGTTTCTATCCTGAAAGTACAACATGTTCTCTGAACATAAAGAGTCGGGTAAAGGTCAAAAAAAGAGATCGTGTGTGCAAAGCCTTGCAAAGCACTGGTGACAACTGGAGGTGCACATTATGATTTAATATGCAAGGTTACACAGTAAAGTGTAGAGAAAGTGTAGAGATGTATACTTACTTTCTGAAGGTTTAACTCAGTCACTGCACATTGTAATGAAATGTATAGGTATAAAATCCTGCATGTTAGAGCGGAGCAAATCACCGTGCATTTAATATCAAGTTGACTCGATTTTTCCTTCAAAATGAGCCCTTAAAATGATTTTTCTTCACAAATTTGTAGGATGATCTTCGGTGTGTTTTAATAGTCGTATAATTGAAAGCAGCAGGGCATGATCGGTCTGTAGACAGTGCATAACAGAGCACAATGAGTGAGAGTTGCCTGACTGGAGCTGTTGTGCAATAATTGACACTCTCAAGACGAGCCTTCATTTCTCTTTCTGAGTGTGTGCTTTCTGTTTCTCACACTGCACTATCTGTTCGGCCTCACAGCCCAACAATAGCCCGCTGATCCTGTCAGCTCCAAGCAGTCACATTAGTACACAGAGGAGTGTGTGGACGGTTGATTAGTATATGGAGAGTTTGGGGTTATTAACCACATGTGTGTTTAATTACCAGAAGTCTCTTGCTTTGGCCGTATGTGTTGCAACAAGATAGATCTGGTGTTTGGCCACCTGACAGACCGTTAATTGTTTACTTGGATGCAAACATACTCTTGTCCATTTGTTACTCATTACCAGGTTTGTTTCTGCTCAGCTTTTTCATCCCCTTCTGAGCTTGTTCCTACATGCTCAGCGTCCATCACATGTTTGCATAGAGTTCTGCAGCTATTTCAACCGGCAATAATGCTGCTGCGCCTGACCTCCACCCAAAAACTGTCTCCAACATTAGGATGATGGGTTGACATGAAATTTAGTGTGACAGGTTAATCAGTGAAACAACTCTGTGTTTAGTGAAGTAAATAAATCAACAAGAAAACCTGTCATTATAAACTCCCTCAAGAGGCTCAGTGGCAGCTATCATCCTCTAAAACCCAGTTGTAATCCTTCAGCTCTTATAAGTTTTACTCTGCAGGGCATGTGGCCGTGGCAAATTGCAGAGTATGAACTGTGCCAAAAATCTGTTTTGACGAGTGAAATCTAACAATAAACTCTGCTGTGTACATTTAAAACAAACATTTTGTTGTTAATATGGAAATATTACTTAAATGTTGCTTTTTATTTAAACAAGCCAAGAAACAATGTCAAAAGAAAAGGTAATCTGGAGCCATTAATGGTCCATACCACCTGGTGAATCTTCTGGAGCTGCATCGGTGGATGGGGCTGGTGCTGAAGGGGCTTCAGTTTCTGTAGGGGTGGGCTCAACCACAGGAGCCTCCACTGCTGCTACACTGTCTGCAGTGGACTCTTGGGTGACACAGGCTGGTGGAGCTTCTGAGGTTACCCCAGAAGGGGTTTCTGAAGCAGCTGGAGCAGGAGCTGGAACCTCTGCATTCTGGACCGGCTCAGTAGCAGCAGGTTCAACTCCTAAAGCTGGAGCAGGGGCATCCTCTGCGGTGCTGGGTGCCTCTGCTGGAGCAGGAGCTGGAGTAGGGTCTGTTGGCTCCTCGGCAGCAGGCTGTGGCTCAGCTTTGATCTCATCTGTGACAGAAGGTAACGCTGGCATCTCTGGGATAGTTGCAGCAGCAATCTCTGTGTCTATTACCGGCTCTGCAGCTTCAATAGGCACCGAGGGTTCAGCAGGTGGTGCAGCTTCAGTTGGTTCTGAAATTCCAGCTGGTGCTGAAGACTCAGCCGGTGTTTTTGTTAAAGCTTCGCTTGGTGCAGGTAAAGCAGCCTCTGGTTCAGAATTGTCAGCTGCCTGCGCAGGTGCAGCCACTTCAGCAGGGGCCCCCACAGCCTCGGCTGAAGCCTCTTTCACAATAACTGGGTTCACAGTTGGCTCAGATATAACCGGTTCAGCGACAGGCACTGCAACCACCTCCTCAGTGATGGCAGAGGCCTCTGCCTGCACCGCTTCAGCTGATGATTCAACAGCAGGGGCCTCTTTTGCAGTCTCAACAGAAGCTTCAATCTCAGGAGGGGGTTCTGCCTCTACAGTTTCTACAGGGGCGGCTTCTTCAACCGGGGGTAGTGCCTCAACAATTGCTATAGCAGCCTCAGGCTCAGCCGGAGCAGAAGCATCAGCCTCTGGCGCTGTCTCTTCAGTAGCAGTAGGTTCTTCCTTTACCTCAGAAGCAGCTAGAAGGTCCTCCCCAGAGCCAAGGTCCTCTTGGGCCTCCAGGGCCACTAACACAGCCTCAGCTTCATCATCAGCACCCCTCTGAAGATCATCGGGTAACGCAGTCTGCACAGGAAGCTGCATCTGGTCCTCGATGGTTTGAGGATCTTCTGCAATGATGCCGTTTTTGACTGCTGTCAATGCAGAGATGACAAATGAAGAACTCAGTTAAGACTTATGACTGACACAAGTTCAGCATTGATCAGCAGGCTCGGCTAATGATAATCATGTTAGTGTGTAACACTGAATTCATGACAACACTGAATAACAAAAGAAGGATTGTAGAAGGTTCTTCAGGTAGTTACGTGTTTCATGGTTCTTTCCCAGTTGTTTTATTCCCACACAAAAAATGTTTTGTAAATGTATTGCATCTATATGTGGACCACTAAAACTGTAAAAAACCCTAAACCTATCAATGGAGCAAAACTTTTAAATCAAGTTAACATGAAACGCAGGGGAAAGGAAATTAGCAATAAGGGGCACACAGAATGCGTGCTGAGGAAAACTTCCTTTCATTTCCGTAGTTGAGAGCTCGTGTTTGTCTGGAGCCCTGAGGACACGCACTCTCAGAGGAAGAACAATACACGCGATGATGGCTTGCTGAATTTAAAGAGATGTCTCTACCTTTAGTCTCCCTCCCCAGTCTCTGCTCTTCCACACACTGTGGGTGTGAACAGGCTGCAGTATGCAACAATAGTGGGCTTGAATACTTGGACTCAAATATCAGAAACATCAATGCACATCTCAGTTACGGGACTCACAGAAGCCTAACAGCTTTTGCCCTTTCTTATTTCACAGCTAAAACACGAAAAGGATATAGTTCACAAGCAGAAGGGTTCAGTTAGCTGTATGGGTGGATAGTTTGGAAGCTGCAGCTTCCTGATTTTATTTGTCTGTCAGAAGCACAAAAAGGGCTGAGAGTGATGGGTGGAAGGGAATGTGACGGCCTGGCAACTTGAATGAAAATGAGCCAGTGGAAGAACACGCAATGCATAGAGGTGTTTATGTGAGCTCAGTGTTGTTATTAACACGGTGACTGAGGGAATAGTGTAAAACTGCATAAGAGTAAAGGTGTTTTCAGATATTTTTACCGGTTTTCCACCAGGTCCTACTGTTTAATCAATGGCACCCACTATCAACAGAGACTAGAAAGCTGTTGTCCGGACAATAACCGAGAACTTGTGTTAAAAAATATGCGAATGTGCGTGTTTGGGTTGAGACAG